AACCTCTCTGCACCACGGCCGGGGGCTCCCGGGGGCCCCAGGGGTGGCTCCTGCCTTGGGGGTGCTCAGGGACACAGCAAGACCCTGAGGGACACCAAGGGGTGACTGGCAGAGCCTTTAATGGGGCACCCACCACGGCCTGGGCCACGCTGGGAGCTCAGCTCAGGTCATGGCTGATTTATTTTCCCAAAAGATCCATTTCTTGGTGATCCAGCCCCCAGGGATAAGCAGAATCTGAGGTTGCCGCTGGCCTGGAGAGCCCAGGCGAGCTGGCACAATGGCATGTGGAGGCAATGCACAGCCCCAAGTCACCCTTAACCTCCAGTTTTGGGGTCCCCTGATGTTGAGGATGGGGGTGTGGGGTGCATGCACCCCTGGGACACCCACGTCCCTGGAGAAAAGGCATCTGACAGGGGTTTGGTTGCCCACGTAGGAGCAGATCGAAGAGGAGAGGTGCCATGGCGGCAGGCAGGAGCAGAAACCTCGCTGCCCGCCTCCACCGAGGACCTGTCGAGCTGCTTTCGCAAGAAGCCAAAGCCAGGGGACGTGGGCGGAGAGGAGCCAACACTCGGCTGGATTTGACCAGGGGACGGCTCACACGGAGAGCTGAGCAAGGAGGGTAAAATTAGGCTGCAGGGTCAGAAATAGCCTCATTGCGAAACTGCCGGAGCTGCACTGGAGCTGCCGCGTGGGTCCTGGACAGGGCAAGGTGGCAGCAGCACCTGGATGTCCCCTTTGCTGGGGAGCCCTGTCCCCATGGTCCCCAAGCTGCTGTCCTTGGGATGGATGAGACCCTCCAGGAGGGTCAGACCAAAGGACAGGGCTGTGCCGAGAGGGACCACACACCCAAACACCCCACCCAGGGCTCAGTGAGACACTGTTGGGTGGCCTCAGTAGAGAGGGGACGGTGGCACCCACCACGTGGGCCACCCCTTCCAGGGACCATGTGTGGGACCTGGAAAACCCAGGACCAAGCATCACTGGTGGGACAGGACCTCGCTTGGGCTCCCTACCACAAGGATGCAGGAGTGGCTGGGGGGAAGCCGGGGATGTCCCCATGGAGGTGGCTTGGCCACCAAGCCCCGTGGTCCCTTCGTCACAAGCAGAGCTGGGCTGGGTCACAGGATGTGGCATGGCTGGGGCACAAACTGGGTGGTGGCTGCATCCCACCATGGGCCCGGGAGGGCACGTGGTGCGGGGAGGGGAGGAAGTGGCTCCGCTGTGGTCCCCGGCATCAGCGGCAGAGCACAGAAACCGGTTCTTGTTTCCTGCCGGGGAGGGGGGACCAGGGAAGTGTGGGGCAGGGCGGGAGGTGTGGGTCCGGGTGGGAGATGTGGGGAAGGGCAGCAGCCAAGCACCCCCGGGGTGGCAGAGGAAGGACTTGGTCTTCCTCTTCCTTGGGGGACAAAGATGGAGGGGCCACGGGGACTTGTCCCCAGTAGCCACATCCCACCTCACGTCATCCAGCACCCTCCGGCCAGCGCTTAGCACCCTCATCCCACCCCGGCGTGGGGCTTCCCCATCCTGCCCCCCCAGCCTGCCAGCAGCGTCACAGCCCAGTGTGGTTCTGAACGGATGTCACCAAATGTCCTCCACCAACCCTCCTGGGACACAAGGTGCCACAGAGCCCACAGTGCCATCCCACCCCTGCCTGGTGCCAGGATGCGGCCGGCTGGGACCCCCCCATCTCAGGGAGGGTTTGCTGCGGGGTTGAGCTGGGCTTAATCCAAAACCTAAAACTAAGACTGGGGGGAGGCAAAGCAGCACCTACGTCATTTTCCGGTACGAGAAGGCCTTTTAATATCACAACACCCACAGCGCCGGTGCTGCCGATGGCAGGGGGGACGGAGCTATTTTGGGTGTCAGACACCTTCTTTTTGTTCTGCACGCGAGCAGGCAGAGCCGAGCAGAGCTGGGCTCTGCAACCAAACCCCAGCGCAAAACATTCAAAGCATGCTTTACGGAAGTGTTTGCTCTGCAAAACACCAACGGGCTCGAGTGAAAACCAGACTGAACCCAGGGAGCATCGTTTCTGGGGCACGTGGGGGATGCGCACCCACGGAGCAGGGGTGTAAAGCCTCAAGTGGCACATAGCATGGGAGAACATCCCGGTCCAGACATCGGGTACCAACCCTGCCTGTGGTGGGGAAGGGGCCAGAGCAGCCCCGAGATGGTGGCGTAGGGGTTTCCACTGACTGGTTGGCCATGGGAAGGGCTAACGTCACCAGGTGCCCGGCTGGTGGCTGATGGACCACACCACTCACCCGGGATGCTCCATCTCTCCTGGGCAAGAAGCACGGTGCTCCCACCCAAGGAGGTTTGGGGGATGCCCGGCCCTGCAGCGGCAGCCTGTGGTGTCCCCTCCAGCAACCCCAGTTGCCACTGGACCCATCCTCCTGCCTCTTCCTGAGGCTCAGCACCAGGCCACCAGCAGGATCAGGCCCACCCAGGGCTCTCCCAACCCCCTGTGTGCAGCAACCCAGGCTGGGCGACACTCCCAGGACCAGCTCATCCTGCCAGGGAGTCTCCCTGGATGTGGCCAGGTCTCAAAGCCACCACATGCCAGCAGGGACAAGCCAGTGGAGGAGCAGACGGGTCCCCACCGATGGCTGGATCCTACTGGGTGGCAAGGAGCGGGCTAAGGGATGGGTGGCCTCTACCACCTCCTGCTCCCAGCTCTATTTTAAGAACAAGCAGAAGCTGCTCTCGGCACGGGCTGGGGAGCCGAGCCCGATCCAGCCGCTGCGCCCGCATCCCCACTGGGATCCTGCCTGCACACCCTGTGCCGTGCACAGGGGGATCCCTGTGCCGGGGTGTCCTCCTAAGCAGCCAGGGCCAGATCCGGGCATATGGGGGTGCTGATCCAGTCACACAGGAGGCCAGATCCAGCCCCATGAGCAGGATCCCTGGACTGGGATGCCCTCCTGATTCAGCCAGGGATGGATCCAGCCATGCAGCGGGGGGCTGATCCAGCCATGCGGGGGGATCCCTGCACTGGGACACCCTCCTCATTCCACCAGGGCCTGATCCGGCTACATATGGCAGCTCTCAGCTCACAGGCCACTTCCTTTCCTATCCAGGGCACACATCCCCCGTGGGGACACCCCACCACGGTTCCCAGCTGGACCTGGCTGCTGTGCCGGGACCGGGCTGGGGATGGATCCAACAGAAACCCAAGCACTGTTTTTCTTCCCTGGATGAGCTGAGGCCAACACCGCAGCCAGGGCTCGCTAGTGACTGGGTCCCATCACTGGGGCCAACAGCCCATCTGCAAACATCTGCAAACATCTGCAGCGGTGACGTTTGCCGCGCTCTCCCCCAGGTCCCAGGAGAAGTGGCAGCAAAGCCCTCGCCAGCAAAACCTCCTGGACGGAGCAGCCCTCGTCCTTGTCAGCCGCTGTCCCCATCAGCCACTGTCCCCAAGGCTCCAGCCAAGCCCTCCCAGCTATTTTCGGCTCCACCACACCCTCGCCTCACAATTTCATTTATATATTCCTGATTGCTACCTCTTGATGTGCAAAAGGGGGGAGGGCGGAAATCCCGACTCCTCCGAGCAGAAGTATCCAAACATCCCTATCCTGGCAGCAAAGGTGCTCCCCTTCCTCCACTCCATCCCAAAAAGCCACCTCGTCACATCCCAAACCACTTGGCATGGGGACAACCCTTCCATCTCTCTGCCAAAGCAGCATCTGCCACAGTGCCCTAGCTGGGAAGAAGCCAACTTTTGGGGAATAAAACTAAATTCCCCATTTCTCAGCACATGGTGGGTTTATCCACCCTCTTCCCGCTGGCTGCCCCACACTCCGCCGTTGGCTTTTCTGACAGGTTTTGCCCCACCAGCTCTCCCAGTTTGGGATGTCCAGAACAAAACTGGTATTGGCACCGACGAGGTGCTCTCACAGCATCACCGTAGCTGTGGCAACAGCTCACACCCCACCACCAGGCTCCCAACCCATCACCTCCCTCTCCCTCACTGATCTCACAAGCTCAGGAGGTGGAAAAATTGAGTCCCAAGTCAAGGAACGTGGTTGGGGTGGGTGAGGGCAGAGCGACCCCCCCATCCCCATCCCCCCGGGGGGTCTCGCTGCCTCCTACCCGGCCATGACAAGGGGGAAGGGAACCTGCAAAAGGAGGAAGTGAGATTGGGACAGCCAATTTCACAAGATGCCTGGTTCCCGTCTGGCCAAAACCCAGCCCCCTGGGTCCCTCCGGCTCCCGGGAAAGGGCTTTCCCTTGGGATGGAGAAGGTCCAGGTGGAGGCAAGGGCCTGGAGCAGCGCTTTCCCCTTTTCCCGATCGTTTTTTGGCTTCGGATTTCCAACCTGCTGCCCCCCAGCCAGGCGGAAAGCGATGTTTCCTGAGGCCTCGCAGCAGCGGAAGCACCCCAAGGTCCCCAGCCACCCGTCCCCTCCTGCC